ATCTCAATGCCACCCCACCGCTTCTCAGCGGCTGCCACCCACCGCTGCCCCCTGCCCTGGCCCCCGACTAGTCTTGCCTTGACCCTGCCTCCCTCAGTCCATTCCCCACACAATGGCCAAGGGGATCTTTGAAAAATAGAAATCTGACCGTCACACAAGAGAACATGGGACCTGTAACGCTGGCTGGAAGGCCCAATGCTCCCCCTCCCATGTGTCAGACCCGTCTCCATCCCTCTGCCCCAGCGACAGGAGCCCCAGCCACACCACACTCCTGTCCCCGACCCCTGTGCTCAGGCCTGCTTGCCTGTGGGTGGCTTCTCATTGTGGGAGCTCAGCTCAAATGTCTCATCTCAGAGGGGCCTGAACGCCCCTCCTCAAAAAACAAAAACAAAAAACAAGCCTTGTTTTCTTCGTAGCACTTAATCGCTGACTGTATTACAATGATGGCTCCTTCATCTGCTGTCTGTGTCTCCCACTAGAATGTGAGCTCCAGGAGGGCAGGGCCTGCGTCTCGTCCCCCTAGTGCCTCTGCTGCCCAGCACAGGCTGTGCATGGTATGCAGTAAGCACTCAATAAATGTGTGTCAATGAAGAAATGATTGGACCCCTCTCAGCCTCTTCTCCCACCCCACCCACCTCTTCCCTGGCACTGACCACGCCTTTCCCCAACCCCGTGCCACAGAATCCCCTCCATCAGTGGCCAGCCTCTCCCCTCCCAGCTCCCCTCTCTCTCCTGGGCGCTGCCCTCCTCTGCCGGTTTGTCTGCCAGGCGAGGCTGTGAGTCCCAGGGCCTGGTATACAGGAGGGGCACAGCCAAGGCTTAGGTGCCTCTGGGATGCTGGGATTCAGAGGGGGCAGCAGGGCCCCTGCCCTCACACTCCACATGCCAGAGCCCTGTGTCTAGGGGTGTTCGCTTCTAGGGGTTTCCCGATTGGGAGGCTTTCCGGTTCCTTTGCTGCCCCGTCCTCTGTCCTGAGAACCGGGAGGTGATGAAGGGACCCTCACTGCTCGGCCAGGGCGGGGGACCCCTGGACAGGTGATCCCTGGCTGACAGGTGTGGGTAGCATTTTCATTTTGCTGCTGAGAAAGCCAAGGCCCACTGGGGTCAGGTAAGACCGAGAACGGAGACGGAGCCTAAGACCCCCCACGGCCCTGTCACAGGGTTTGCTCAGTCAGGTGCATCGGTTCTGAGTCCCGGGTCTCAGACCTGCGGGCTCTGGGGGGCCCCTGGCAGCTGAGGTCCTGGGACTTGAATCTGACTCAGCATCAAAAAGTGGGTCTGAAAAACAAACCTGGCCGATGTGGCTCAGTGGTTGAGCATCAACCTATGAACCAGGTTCGATTCCCGGTCAGGGCACATGCCCGGGTTGCAAGCCTGATCCCCAGTGTGGGGTGTGCAGGAGGCAGCCGCTCAATGATTCTCTCTCATCATTGATGTTTCTCTCTCTCTCTCCCTCTCCCTTCCTCTCTGAAATCAATAAAAATTAAATTAAATTTTAAAAAGCAGGTCTGTGAGCAGGTCTCCAATGAATGAGATTACAGCACATGCAGGAACCCCCTTTCTTGGGGTCTGTGGTTTGGCACAAGGGGCTCTTACAAGTCCCTTGGAGGGGGCCTGCCTAGACCCTTCCCGCCCCAGTGGGTTGTGGAGGGGCAGGAAAGTCTCCTCGAAGCAGCCAACGTTCCCCTCCTGGGCTCCAAGGGACCTTGGGGCCGCCTGGCCTGGGCATTGCAGAGGGAGGAGGAGGTCACCAAGGTGATCCAGCAAATCTGCCCCTCACTCTGCCCATGGCCCCAGGGCGGCTGGAGACCTGCCTGGCCCTTCCGGCCCCTCCTCTCCCGAGATCTCAATCGGGAATTTTCCACAGCTTCCAGCTTCCGCAGGGACCAGGTGTGGGGGAACGGTGTAGGGCAGCTGCGAATTGCCAATCAGGTGGCAGTTTAAGAGCAGAGCGTGGGGGTGATAAGATCTGCCCCGAGGCCCAGGGAGGGAATGAGTAACTGCCCCACCAGATGGGGTGGGGTGGAAAGGTAGAACATTGACCATGATTGGGGTCCTGGCCCCAGTGGCAGCTGTCACGCGGTAGGGGACACGCTCCCGCAGACGCCTCTCCGAGGAGGGGCTGGGACTCCCGGGAAGCGGGTAGGCAAGCTGGGGGGTCATGAAGGGGAGCCCCTGAGAAATCTTTTTAAAAAATTAACACATAAGGTCAATATATACAAACTTTGCAAACAGTTTCACGGTGACCATATCCTGGGATCCTGAGCTCAGCCCCACGCCTGGCTGAGCTGGGGTCTCCCCTGAGGAGCTGCCCCTTGCACTGACCCCCATGTGGGGTGATTCTGTCCGCCAAGGGCTCCTGTGGCGGCTGGCTGCTCTCTGCCCTCCGTGGCCTGGTCCCCTCTGTTATTCACTCCAATAGGCATTGTTTGAGGACCTACTCAGTGCTCTTTAGTTGCTGGGGGTCATCCGTGAACTTGACAGGCCCAGATCTGTGCCCCTGAGGGCCGGCCTTCTAGCGCGTTGGATGAAATGTCTGTCACTCTTCCCAGAAAAAGGCCCTTGGGTATAAAAAGGTGCCCATAATTTTGTGGGGCTCCTGGGCTCCAGTTTAAGCATCTCGCCTTGGAGGGTGACTCCCTCACACAGTTGCTGCTCTAACACACCTGCACCTGCCATCTGCACCTGTCCTGGCTCGCAGCTGGCACACCTGTCCTGGCCCTCTGGACCGGGAGCGAGGGGTGAAGGTGAGCCCGCCGGGCCCTCTGCAAGTCCTCAGTCCACAGTGCTCACTTGCTGCCGGAGACGTGGTGCCCCAGGGACTCTGGGCATCTCAGAGCTGGTCCTCTGGTGACCTCTGAGAACCCAGGTCTGAGAGGCCACGTCGGGAGGGAGAGAAAGGTGTCCCTCCATGTCCCTCCCAAGGATGGCCCGAGCCTGAGCCTGAGCCTAAGCCCAGCTCAGATGCCTGGGGCTGGTGGTGGCCTTGAGGCCCCTGTTCATCCTCTGACCCCGGTCCAGGGTGCTCTCTCCTGTGGCCGCCCTCCCCGCACAGCCCGCCTGGTCAGTGTCCGTGTCCCCCGACTCAGTGGCGCCGTGAGCACAGGCAGTGCCCGCCACCCATGTCCCGGCTCCTGTCGCCACCCATGGCGGGGTGGGTGGGCTTTAAAGGTTTGTTGGGAGAATGGCTGACGGGGAGATCTGTGCTTTTCTGTGAGCCCACAGCCCACCCAGGCCCAGGAAGCAAACGGACACAGGAGTGAGTGTCCAGGGTGTCCCCAGGGAGGGCTCTGGGGTGGGAACCTCAGGGAGAAGGGAAGGAAGCAGGCTCAACCGGCGGAGGGGGCTGCTGTGTAGACACAAAGCCTCAGGCTGGGAGCTCGGGAGCTGGGTGGGCCCACTACCCCAGGGGGCGGGGCATCAGGCCTTTACACCCAGCCCTCGGGGCCCAGGCGGGGCCCTACCTCCTTGATCACGTGGTGGGCAGGACTGAATGGGCACGTGCTCTGCCTCCCACCCAGTCCAGGGACCCTGCTCGCCTGCCCTGGGCGGTTTAGGCCAACCTCCCTGCCTCCCCCTGCTGCAGGCCCAGCCTATAAAGCCACCCTGCGTGTCCCCGCCGACCCTGGCCCCCGCCCCTGCCACCCAGAGCCACCATGGCAGAGCTGCCGGGGTCGGAGACGCCGGGGGACCCCACGCTGTGCAGTGGGCGCTTTACCATTAGCACGCTGTTGGGGAGCGATGAGTCCCCACCGCCGGCTGCCTATGACAGCAGCCACCCCAGCCACCTGACCCATGGCAGCACCTTGTACATGCGAACCTTTGGCTACAACACTATTGACGTGGTACCGGCCTACGAGCACTATGCCAACAGCGCCCTGCCGGGCCAGCCCCGCAAGGTCCGGCCCACACTGGCCGACCTGCACTCCTTCCTTAAGGTAAGCATCGTCTCAGAAGGCTGGCCGCTTCTCTGCTGTGTGACCTGACCCAGTTACCTACCCTCTCTGAGCCTCGGCTCTGTCACCTACACCTTGAGGATACCTGTCTTCCTCGGGGGTCGAGAGGCCCAAACAAACCGTGGACACGGGAGTGGGAAGCTCTGGGTACATGTAATGTGTGTTGTTCAGTCATCGGCAACCCAATTAAGCCAAGGAGGGCTGCCTAGAGAGGTAATGAGCTCCCCGTCCGTGGAAGCATGCAAATAGAGGTTGCACACACCTGAAAGAGATGGAGAGAGGAGAGAAGGAAGGTCTGCAGCAGAGAAGAGCCTTGCTGGGTTTGCTGCCTGGGAGGCTGGGCTGTGGAGCGGGAGGGCTGGGAGCTGCAATGCTGTGACCCCTGCCTGTCTGCCTCACCGTGGTCTCTGGGCTCCCAGCAGGAAGGCAGCCCCCTGCACGCCCTGGCCTTTGACAGCCGGCCCAGCCATGAGATGACGGACGGGCTGGTGGAGGATGAGGCGGGCACCGGTGGCGAGAAGAGCCCGGGGGAGCCCGTGCGCTTTGGCTGGGTCAAGGGGGTGATGGTGAGTGGGCTGTAAGCAGGATGTCCGGGAATGGGGGGGGGGGAAGGGGGGGCCTGGAGCTCCACCAGCCCCAGCTCTGACCCTCAGGCCTTAGCGTCCGGGGCCCATCCTGGGCCTCGGTTTCCCCATCTGCATCGCGACCTCACATTTTCTCTGGTTTTGTGCTTCCTGACCTCCATTTACGCCCCAGAGGGCAGGGTGGTGTGGCAGACGAGCCCGGGACACTCCCTAGACGGAGACCTGGCCCTGGGGCAGATCTCTTTTTTGGCTACTGACTTGTCCTGTGACCTTAGACACGTTACTTAGCCTGTGTCTCAGTTTCCTTATTTGTGAAATAATTAGCATTAAACCAGTTAATGGATGTGAAGTGTTTGGAGCCAGGCCTGCCTGGGAGATATGAGAAGAAATGGCATTTCCCCAAAAGGCCACCAGAGGGCAGCACCGAACACACAAATCCACAAATGTGTTTTTCTCATTTTCCGTGATGGGAAGAGGGCAGGTTGGCTGTGGGGTAGCGCACCAGGAAGTCTCCAGACACCAAAGGATCAAGTGGACTTGGCTTTGGAAGACACTGTGGGACTATACGGAGGGTGGCATGAGATGTAAGAGAAAGCTTTCTGCCGGGAGGCAGTGGGCTTGGTTCTGACCTTAACTCTGCCAAGCTGCCCGCTGGCTGTGCCCCTTTCCTCCGTCGGACCCGTCAGCACCCCGAGAGGCACATATGGAGATTCTGGATCTCCCTCCCGGACTGTGGAGTCGTGGACTACAGAGCCCCACAGGGCCTGGCCTGGCCCGGCCCGGTCAGCAGCTCCGAGCGGATGGAGGGCCTTAGACCTCTCCCACATGCCCTTGTCCCAGCCCAAGACTTGGCTGGGGCAGTACTTTCCACTGGGAATTTCAGCCTCAGCCAAGGCCTCTGGCTCTGTTTTAAAATTGGAAGCTGAAGTCACAGCCACTCGAGGCCTGATTTCTGCCTGTGTGTGGGGCGTTGGCACAGCTAGCATTTGCTCGTCTCCCCCTGAATGCCAGACCCTGCACCAACGGCTGGTCCTTGGGGCATGGCCGGCGCTGCCAGACACAGGATCCCGGGCTTGGAGGAGGGGAGGGGTGGTGATGCTGCGGCCCATCCTCAGGCCCCAATGAGAGGGCAGGAAAGTGGGTGGGCAGCCCCTCCTCCCTGCCCCACAAAACCAGAAGGGCATTGAAGTGGGTGAAGCAAAGAAAGGACCCAGATGTCCCCCTAGCCAGGTGCCTGAGGCCATGCCATGACTGGGGACAGGGACTGTGTATTTGGCCTTGGGGTCTCTCTGTCCCCCTAACCCCCCTAGCCTCTGACCCCCCTCTCCTCCCAGATCCGTTGCATGCTCAATATCTGGGGTGTGATCCTCTATCTGCGGCTCCCGTGGATTACAGCCCAGGCGGGCATTGGTGAGTGCCCTTGGCAGGGAGGGGAAGGTGTGCTTGAACGTGGGCTGCAGAGACCCTGGTCCCCTGTAGGGACAGAGGGCAGGGTGGTGTGGCAGAGGGGCCTGGGACACGGAGTCAGCAGGCCCGAGCGCTCTCCCGCTCAGCAAGTCTCTTAACCTCTTGGAGCCAGTTTCCACTACAGAGCATCTGGGTTAGAAGCTCAGACTCTGCACAGAACAGTGTGCAGGTGCTAGCTCTGTGCTGTGTGACCTTGGACAAGTTTCTTAACATCTCTGAGCCTTGGTTTCCTCACCAGTAAAAGAGGGTAGTAACTGTCTCTACCTCACAGACCTGTTGTGGGGTTTCTATGATGCACGTGAACAGCACAGGACTGGGCACCCAGAGGTGCTCATCAAATGGTCACTCTCACCTTGTTTTTTATCATTAAAGGAGGGTTCCTTCCCTCCCATACCTAATGATCCTTTACATGTTGGCTCAGTGGCTCCCTGATAGACCAGGGAGGTAGGCAGAGACCCATTTTCCAGATGAGTAAACAGAGGCTCAGAGAAGGGCAGTGATTGAAGTTACATGGTTTCTCACATGGCTCCTTTACCTGGGAAATGCCCCGACTGAGTTTTGGGGTGACCACGTCCCCGCCCGCCCCCCGTCCCCACAGTCCTGACCTGGATCATCATCCTGCTGTCGGTCACGGTGACCTCCATCACCGGCCTCTCCATCTCGGCCATCTCCACCAACGGCAAGGTCAAGTCAGGTGGGCCCCCACTATTACCTTCCCCACCCCACTACTGCCTTTCCCCACCCCCCTCCTCTTGTAGATCCCCCAGTCTTCACCCTGGGAATGGTCTCTGAACCACGTCCCACCCCCAACCCCAACTGGGGCACCCGAGGCTGCTCCTTTAGGCTCCAGGGGAGGGTTGGAGCAAGCTCTGCACACCCACGGGTGGCCTGGGGTATTTCCTGCGCCGTGGTCCCCTGGCGCCCGTGGTCCCCTGGCGCCCGGCGGCATTGGCAGCAGCCACCGCTTCTGCCACCCCAGCCAGCTCACTCCGCGGGGTTCATGGCTCCTGGCTCTGTCCCCCGTAGGTGGCACCTACTTCCTCATCTCCCGGAGCCTTGGCCCAGAGCTGGGGGGCTCCATCGGCCTCATTTTTGCTTTCGCCAATGCCGTGGGTGTGGCCATGCACACGGTGGGCTTCGCTGAGACCGTGCGGGACCTGATCCAGGTGAGGCCAGGGCTGACCCCGGGCAGAGGGTGCCTACCGCCTCTCGTCTCCTTCACCCCCTCCGGGCTGGGCCTTCCTCCGCCCAATGGGCCCATCAGGCACCACGGCCCCAGTGTGATGGCTGTGGATGACCGTGACCAGCCCATCAAAGACAGGCTTGCCCAGGCCCTCAGCAGCTGTTCTGGGGGGGGGCGGCATTGGCAGGGAAGGTGTCTGGGTCTGTGTCGTCCTGGGAGAGGTCATCCCGAATGAGTGACGCAGGTGGAGGGGTCTGGGTGGAGTGCTCAAGGGCAGCACACAGCGGCCTGACCGCCCCCCTCCCGCCCCCAGGAGTACGGCTCGCCCATCGTGGACCCCGTCAATGACATCCGGATCATCGGCGTGGTCACCGTCACCGTGCTGCTGGCCATCTCCCTGGCTGGCATGGAGTGGGAGTCCAAGGTGAGGGGGGATGTGGGAGAGGGGGCCAGGGTGTCACGTGGGAGTCATGGGAGCAGGGCACTGGTCCTGCGCCTGGTTCTTCTTCTTCTTCTTCTTCTTCTTCGTCTTCTTCTTCTTCTTCATCATCATCATCATCATCATATGTTTTTATTGATTTCAGAGAGAGGAAGGGAGAGGGAGAGAGAGAGAGACCTTGAGCAGGCTCTTCCCTGCTGGGGTGCCCTCAAGAGGGGGCTCAGGCCCTCTGACCTCTTGGTCCTTTGCCCACAGGCCCAGGTTCTCTTCTTCATGGTCATCATGGTCTCTTTTGCCAACTACTTGGTGGGGACGCTGATCCCCCCGTCTGAGGACAAGGCCTCCAGGGGCTTCTTCAGCTACCGGGGTATGTGCAGGTGGAGGCCCCTGCCCATGGGGACAGGGACAGGCTGCCCACCTGTCTGGCCTATTCTGTGGGCACCGGGAGGAGGGGATCCCTGACTCCATGGCCGGGAGCTGCCGTCGGAATGCCCTCCCTTCCGGGCCGGGCCCCGTGAGGGGGCGGAGCCCTGACGCAGGCCCTGGCTTTCTAGGGGACATTTTTGTCCAGAACTTGGTGCCCGACTGGCGGGGCCCGGACGGCAGCTTCTTCGGGATGTTCTCCATCTTCTTCCCCTCGGCCACGGGCATCCTGGCGGGGGCCAACATCTCCGGGGACCTCAAGGTGAGTAGCCCGCCCGCCCTCCCTCTTCCTGGCCTTGCCTCCCAGGGTCTCCCCCTGGGCACTGAGCTTGGCACCAGGGGCCGAGCTTCTAAACTCCAGTCCAGTCCAACACAACCCAATCCAAGCCAATGCCACTCACTCCGCTCAGTTCTCAGGTTGTCGGTTGGCATCAGTGGCACCTTAGGCCTTGAGGGCCACCCCCAAATGGGCTAGTGTCCTCCCTCGCTGCTGGGAGCCAGCCTAAGGGGAAGACGGACCCGCTGACCTTCCGAAACGCGGGCTGGGTCCCGTAGCTCTTTGCTGGGCTGGCATCCTCTCAGGGCCCTCCACTGTCCTGATGCAGGCAGGCTCCTCAGCCCGGTGTTCAAGGTCAATGTCGCCACAGCCACAGCCACGACCCCGCCCAGGATCTGCTGCTTTGCTGTGTTGCCCTGTCCCCCCCTCCCCCGCCCTCGCCTTTGCCTCTGCTCTCTGGGACTCCCTACCCTTGTTTCTTTACCTCACAAAGTCTGTTCCTCTTTCATTTTTCAAAAAAAAAAAATATTTTTATTGATTTCTGAGAGGAAGGGAGAGGGAGAGATAGAAACATCAATGATGAGAGAGACACATCGATTGGTTGCCTCCTGCACGCACACTGACCAGGGCCGGAGATCAAGCCGGTAACTGAGGTATGTGCCCTTGACCACTATCGAACCCAGGACCCTTCAGTCCGCAGGCCGATGTTCTGTCCACTGAGCCAAACCAGCGAGGGCCAGTCTGTTCCTCTTTCAAATAACACCTCCATCCTTACATCTGTCCCCGCCCCCCGGCAGCATCGGGGCCCAGCGTAATGTCAGGGCGCTATTGTCCCCGGAGGACTGAGGCCTACCTCTGCATCTCTGTCCGGCTCACGGTCAGGCGCATACAAGGGGCTCAGTACAGGTTTGTCGAGCGAATAGGGGTGAAACGTAGCAAATGAGAGGTGTCAGCGGATGTACCTGCTTCCTGCCGGTGCCTGTGGCTACAGCCGAACATAAAACGGACCGGCATGGAGCTGGCTGGATGCCACTTGGGGCTCCCGGGGCCCTGGATGAGGTCTCAGCCCTGTGACCTTGGTTGTGGCCTGTCCTGGAAGCCCCCAATTGCAAAGTCCCTTTTCCTCTGGGCCCTGTCCTGAGCCTCAGACAAGGGCAGGGGCTGGAATCGCTGATGCCGGCTCTGCCTCCCGCCCAGGACCCTGCCATCGCCATCCCCAAGGGGACACTCATGGCCATCTTCTGGACCACCGTCTCCTACCTGGCCATCTCGGCCACCATCGGTAAGTAGTGCCCAGAGCACTGGGGTCAGGGGGAGTGGGGGTCACAGCATGGGGTTCAGATCTCTAACAGGGAGAGCTGGGCTGGGAGGACTTTGCAAACCCCGGAAGTAGAGGCTTAGACCTTATTTTTATTTTTATTGATTTCAGAGAGGAAGGGAGAGGGAGAGAGAGAGAGAAACATCAATGATGAGACTCATGGATTGGCTGCCTCCTGCACGCCCCACACTGGGATCAAGCCCACAACCTGGGCATGTGCCCTGACTGGGAATTGAACCATGACCTCCTGGTTCATGGGTCAACGCTCAACCACTGAGCCACAGCAGCCTGGAGTGGACCTTGTTTTGAGGGCACCTGGTGGAGACCAGAACATTTCCATGGGGGAGGGGAAGGCCAGGCCCTTCAGTTCCTTCAAGTCCGAGGTTACGGATCCCAGGGTGTGGAAACCATGTTCCGATGACAGGAATAACATCATGTTATCGGCGAGGTGACCGTTCCTGTCCTCTTGAGGGAAAGATTTCAATCGAGAGACAAAGTGTAGGAGAGCAAGTGAGGAGGTACTGGCCACAGCAAAGACAGGAAGCAGTGGAGCCGGGCTCGGACCCAGCCTGAGCTGCAGTCACCTGCCTCTCCCCGAGATCCCCTTGGGGGTTCCTGCTCCTTGTGAGGGAAGCCACTCGCCAGTGACCGAGGGACGCGGGCCAGGTCACACCAGGCAGGTCTGAGGCCTGGGCCTCCGCTTTAAGGAGGACATGGGGGCCTTAGAGAGGTCACCTGAGCGCACTGTGCCTCTGCAGCGAGACAATAAAAGTACTAGTAACACCTGCTTCCCAGGCCTGCGCCTGGCACACAGTAGGTGCTCCTGTGTGTTAGCTGATATCAGTGTCTTTACTATCATTATTATAATTATTATTATGATGACATCGTCACGTCACATCAGCAGCATCTCCCCCTGCAGAAGTGGCCAGCATTTTGGGGGTGGGACAGCAGAGAGCAGGGGAAGGGAGCAGACCTCCCCAGACCCTCCCTCCTCCTCAGGCTCCTGCGTGGTTCGTGACGCCTCCGGGAACCTGAATGACACGGTGACCCCGGGCCTGGGTGCCTGCGAGGGGCTGGCCTGCGGCTACGGCTGGAACTTCACCGAGTGCGCCCAGCAGCACAACTGCCACTACGGCCTCATCAACTACTACCAGGTACCCGGGCCCCACGGGACACAGGGGTGCCGAGGACAGACATGGTGGTGGGGGGGGATGGGGGGAAGAGGTTTGGGCTCAGTCCCTGCCTGGGTGGACACTGGGATCCCGGGGAATGGTTGTGGACTCTGATGGAGCCGTCAGGACCCAGCGCTTGTGAGAAGAGGCAATGGGGTGCCCCAGGGGGGGGCTCCGGGCCCGTCCCCCACCATGCCTGCCTGAACCCCGTGTCCCTGCAGACTATGAGCATGGTGTCCGGCTTCGCACCCCTGATCACAGCCGGCATCTTCGGGGCCACCCTCTCCTCTGCCCTGGCCTGCCTCGTCTCGGCCGCCAAAGTCTTCCAGGTGAGGCTGCGGAAGCGGGGTGGTCAGTACCCAGAAGCCAGGTCCGGAGGGAGCAACAGGACTGGGTCCAGGCGGCGGCAGGGGAGAGGCGGGAGAGGAAGGAAGGAGGGGTCCCGGCCACAGGCTGAGCGCGTGTCCTGTACCCGCAGTGCCTGTGCGAGGACCAGCTGTACCCTCTGATCGGCTTCTTCGGCAAGGGCTACGGCAAGAACAAGGAGCCGATCCGCGGCTACCTGCTGGCCTACGCCATCGCCGTGGCCTTCATCATCATCGGTGAGCGGCTGCCGGGGGCCGGGGGCCGCCGGGCAGGGCTCCTTTCCCTGCTGCTCACCCGTGTGCCCAGCGCCCAGCCGGCCTGGCAGGTGTCGGTGTAAGAAACGGGGGTGCATTGGCTGTGCCCTGAGGGGGCAGCCCACCCTGGTTTGGACTTGATGTCCTTTTATCTGGGGGGTCTGAGAGGACCTCAGACTGAGGACATGACCTCAGAGGCCCTGGGGCGGGGCTCCTGTGGCCATTCGGTGGGGTCACGTGCAGACAGGGTGCTTGTCTTGTTTGGGGATCCCCAGAAGCAGGCCCCGAGACAAGGATTCGCATGCAGTGTGCCCGGGGATGCAGGGGGCGGTCCTTGAGCGGCTTCCGCTGTAGGGGGACGGTGATACGGTCTCAGGGCTTCAGATCAAAGATGACGTGTGTCGTGTGTCACATTGTGAAATGTATTTCTTACCGTAATTTGTGGTCACACAACAGCGGTGACAGCCCCTGTCCTCGGGCACCCCATCTCGGGATGGGGTCTAGTCTCACGTGGCTCTCCATCTCCTGAAAAGCTGGCACTTGACAGTTTACAAAACATTGGCCCTTTGAGCTCCATCAAATGCTGGGCCCATTCCACAGATGAGAAGGGGGAGACTCGCTGAGCCTCAGGGGCCTGTCCGGGCTGCCCCCCACTTTGAGGGTGGTGCCAGGTGGCTGCTTGGCAGAGTTGCCCAACAGGCCGTCCTCTCTCTCCTGGGTCCCTGAAGCCGAGCTCAACACCATCGCCCCCATCATCTCCAACTTCTTCCTGTGCTCCTACGCCCTCATCAACTTCAGCTGCTTCCACGCCTCCATCACCAACTCCCCCGGTGAGCAGCCCCTCACCCTCCACGGAGGCGGCACTGGGGGCTCAGGGATGAAGCAAGGGTGGGGGTGATGGGAGGCATGGATGCAGGTGGGCAGACCAAGGTCCCGCTCAAATCCAAAGCAATGAAAAGCACCCTTTAAATACTAGTAGCAGCCATCCTCTACCAAGCCCTACAGCGCACCCCGTTGTGGGTAAATGTACCGCTGACGGCGCGCGGAGGTTTTCCTAGGACCTTCCTCAGCCAGTCTTACCGGAGTCCGTGGTCTGATCCCCAGAAAAAGACGAGAATTGGCCCGGGCCACAGACGGGGTTGCTGCAGGTTGCACAGCGCACACCTCCAGGGGCAGCCCTCGTGGGTGTCAGAGATGTGAATGCTTATTATGAGCGTTTTCTGGCCGATGGCAGTAAAGAGTCTCCAGGAAGACTTTTGCTAATTGGCCCCCCATTGCCGATGCGCTGGTCGCCGGGCAGCCTTCTCCATAGACCATGGGCCATGGTGCTCCAGCCTGGTGCCCAGGGCGGCTGTCGCTCGCGGTGGCCCTGGATGGGCTGCAGTGGGGAGCCGGGCAGAGCACATCCTTGCCCTCCACCTCGCCTCTGCTCGGCCCCAGCCGTGGGAGCCATGCTATTGCTGACGCTGACGTCTTGTGGCTGCTTCCTC